TTTAAAAAAGTTTCTTATGTCCATCTTGTCAACCACCTAAAATCAACAGCATTATTGTAGACGAATTGTAAACAAATATATCCGTTATCCGTTTTTTTTTTTTTTTAATGTTAAAACATTTAATTAATAAACTTTAGTTTTATAAACTTAATTAATGTATAAACTTAATTTTATTCAAACAATTTCGTGAACCAGCATGATTGTGCTGCGGGTACAGGGTTAAGATTAAGGACATTGTTCTACATGACGTATTTTTTAAATACAAATAAATTAACAGCGTATTTGTACTATTTAATCGTGTTTTTGTATGGTTGTATATCATGCATTTCAAGCCATAATATACCAATATAATACATGGTGTTATATTTACTGCGTGTTTATATTAGCATAATTCAATTCTTTTAAGACATTGACGCACACAAAAGTGCATTCAAGCGAATAATAAGGAAGTGTGTATACGGTATGTTGGCGTGGCGCACGGGCCTATCAGTTACAGTTGTCGCAGCTAGTCTGGGCCCGCGGACCCTTGTGTACTAACCGTTCCCCACGCCAAAGCCACGAAGACAGCAGTGAGGCGCTGAACAACCCCAGACAGCCGTGTGGGCCAGATGTTTTTGGAAATAAGCAATAAACACTCCCCTCTACACCCCGCACCCTAGCGTGGCCGCGCGCCCAGACTAGCTGCGACAACTGTACTCGGGTTTGAGTAAGAATAAGAAGGAAGGGGTTGAGCGTGGGGGATGGCGGGGTGACACTTCTCTGTCTCTCTCTATCAAGGTCACCTGACCATGCTTGCTAAAAGCGTTTACCGTAACACTCATACTCCGCTCGTTTTGTTTTACAATGTAGGTTATGTGCATTTTAAAGTCCAGAATGGTAAACTAAAACATTTCAAGCAGAAGTGTGTTTTGAAATGTTTATATTTTATCATTTCAATCATTGTTAACTAGTTGTCAAACTGAGTATTAAAATAAAAATAAAACTACCATACACCTCGTAACATGGTATATAAATAGTACCAGTTAAACGAAATTGAATAGTGATGGTATGACTGCATTAGGATGCAATACAATTCTCAATACGTCTCTCACTTATTGACATTGTGTTTACTCATTTATATTTTAAGCGAATTTCCAATATGAATATAAGGAATAATTGCTTTGTTATTTGAAGTGGTTCAACACCTTGAACCGAACCACGGCCGATTACATTTTTTATGTCCTTAGAAAACCAATTCAGTTCATATGTAGATAAAAAAGTCTAAAGTGTATGGTGTGATATTTATTTTCCATTTGTAATTTAATCACATCCAAAATACAGGCATAAAGTTATTAACATTTCAATGAGGAAAAGATTTAAAATCACTTACCTCTATTTGATCAAATCACTGAGTTTCTCCCACTGTTTTATCTACAAGTCCGCGAAATTGATTACATAATAACAATAACCATAAGCCAACACAACTTGTGAACACAACACAAACTTTCAACACTCCGTTACCTCCAAAAATCTTAACACTGTGTAACGCAGAAAGCTGTCTCGTCAAGTGACACGCACGAATTCTGAGACAATAGGTGAATAGTTTACGACCTAGGAATCACGTGTTACAGGTGTTGGGGAGGAAAGGGGGAGGGAAGGGGGTTGAAAGGGGGAGGGAAGGGGGAGGAAATCGCTTGTAGTGTGGGAGTAGGGGTGAGCGGGATAGGATCAGTTCAGTGTTGCCAAACATTTTAGCCAATAACACAAATGCTGTATTCGCCTACATTTGCAACAGTGTTGGATTTGCCAATATAAAAAAAATCTTCCATGATCCAGGGGGGGGCCAAGGCCCCCCCCTGCCCCTCTCTGCCGGCGCCCTTGAGTGGCCAGTTGATGACGTGAATACATCTCATTAGTAGGATTTATAAAAAGTTTGTCAAGAATGATAATATTCAATAGCTTCGGAATAAGAATTAGCCTCTGAGATTACTTCATGTATGTTGTAGTCTACAAATTTTAGTTATAAGTTTTAGTTGATCATCTTCTGCAGAACATGTTTTTTCCATGAAATTCTTGAAAGTGGTTTTCCAATGTTTCCACTGACGATCAATACATTTGACAGTACAATAGAAATCACATAAGAACACTACTCTTCAGTCATGAGAAGTTCAACCTCTGAAGAACAATAACCCCCGAGCAGCTGTTTCCCTTATGATGGAAAATATCTGGGATATTACTTGTACGGCGGGGATAACCTGGTCTTCCATACTCGCTCCTACAGACCTCTCTGTATGTTGGATAATGGCTTGGAAAGACCTCAAGAAGCTAATCCATTCCCAACTGTTCGGGGAACCTATTCCTACATCAGTAGGATTTCAAGAAGGGTTGGTAAAAACTTGACTCTATTGAGAAAGGGAAGCAGAAGAGAACTGAGGAGTGAAATATTAGCTCAAATATTAGACAACCAAGTCTAGGCTTAACAATATAACACCATGAGTGTGTTGAAACTGGTCGCTATTAAGACCACCAAGGATTACGTTGGCAACGAGGGATTTAACCCATTGGGGAAGGAATTAATGAGCTGCCTGCAGCACTCTCTGTCGGCAATTAATTTTACCAAATTTGTAGACTTTTACTTTAATTGCTATAGAAAGAAACCCTTAGGTGATAAATTAATAATTCTTTCACCATTTTGTTCACAGTAAAATTGTCTACAGAAAATTGTCAATTGGATAGTCAAAGTGTAAAACTAAAAAAAACAAACGTTATAAAAATACAAATTAAAAAATTTTTTTAAAAAGTAATCTTGATTTACAAATTCCAAGATAAATACAGACACCAAATAACACTACTATTATAAAGTTCAATTGATTCCCTACGTAGAAAAATCAAAAGTTGTGTATTTTTATAAGCAACTAGCTGGCCCGACAGACGTCGTCCTGTCCTAATGTGGTTTTATATCAAATGCTCGTTCATTTTCAAGATGAGCTCGTTCGCATGGCTCAATCATGTCCTGGTTGAAGTTCGTTTGCTACGCTCACTCACCTTTAGGTTGGAGCTCGTTCGCGGCACTCACTTGCCTTCAGGTGAGCTTGTTCGCTACGCGAAATCGCATCCAGGTTGAAATCCGTTCGCTACGCTCACTCACCTTTTGGTTGCAAATTTGCTGTTGTCATAAATTTAAAAAATAATACAGTAGTGCTGCACCCTGTTGGTAAATATATTAACTTTTTATGCCATTGAACATCACAGAGTGAAATAGTTTAGTTGAACCAGCTGTTAAAGATTCTTTAATTCAATTTAAATATGAGTACTCATAAGGTTAACATGGGAAACTCCAGAGCCACTGGGGCGGAGCCCTTTTGACCGATCTACATCAAACTTCACACAAACCATCCTTGAATAATGCTTAATAATGCCTGAAAGTTTCATTACAATCTGTCGAGCGGTTTCGGAGTCCATAAAGGACAAACAAACATACATACAAACAAACTTACATTGGATTTTATACGAGGCATGTTTTTTAAGTAAGTACCGTTTTTAAATTTCTCCGTTCTAGCACTGCGATTGGCACTTTGGACATTTGCGCTGTATGTGTGCATCTATTGGCTAGCTCTAGCCGGAAATTCGACAAAAATCGGCCCTGTTTACATCCGGTTTCGAGCAATTCAAAATGGTGCCGCCAAATGAGACTGCCGCCGACTGTGAAGTGCGCGCTGTAATTAGATTTTTTAGTGCTAAAGGTGTGAAATCCATTGAAATTTATCGACAGATTAGTGAGATGTATGGCGAGAACATTATGAGTGACGGAACGGTACGCAAGTGGGTAAGGGCATCTAAAGACGGCGCCACCAACGTCCATGATGAGCAACGCACTGGGTACTGGGGACATTGACGCCGCCAAGTGCGTTACTCATGATGGACATTGGTGGGGCCGTCTTTAGATGCCCTTACCCACTTGCGTACCGTTCCGTCACTCATAATGTTCTCACCATACACCTCACTAATCTGTCGATAAATTTCAATGCATTTCACACCTTTAGCACTAAAAAATCTAAATACAGCGTGCACTTCACAGTCGGCGGCAGTCTCACTTGGCGGCACCATTTTGAATTGCTCAAAACCGGATGTAAACAGGGCCGATTTTTTTCAAATTTCCGGCTAGAGCTAGCCAATAGATGCACATATACAGCGCAAATGTCCGAAATGCCAATCGCAGTGCTGGAACGGAGAAATTTAAAAACGGTACTTACTTAAAAAACATGCCTCGTATATATAGATAGATAGCGTAGAAAAAATTTGTTTGTTTACCTTACTGCAGCTGATTTTTGGTGATATCTGGTCTCCATGGAAACACAAAATTGTTTGTTATTCGCTAAAATAAATGAGTAAATATGCAAATCAAGAAGCAAGATATTTATAAACATTATAAAAGTAAGAATAAACAAAAAAGGGGAGGGGGGAAATAATAATAATTAAATAACTAGTGGCACTGCGTAGCGGTGACACAAGCGGCACTCGTAAGTAATTTGTACAAGTAACGCTCGTAAGTCGGCGCCAATGGGTTAACCTCTAGATTAGCCTACTACATAAGTTGATGATAGACAATCCGGTTTTATGGGTAAAAATTGGTTTTTCTCATTTTCCCATGTTATTCTTATGGAGAATTTAGTAAACTGTCGTAGTTTGCTTGCTTATAGATATATTTTGATCAAACTTGGCAAATTTATTTATTTTATACTAAGTTAATATTTCACTAAAAACCCATTTTATTAACCTCCCTGTAGCAGCAAACCTAGGTAGTTGTTAAACCTAAAGTTATTTAAATAGACTTAATTTAAAATTCAATAATGGTAAATGGAAATTCGCTTAGTCTGCAGGTTTGCTGACAGGGATATTAGTGAGTATTCTGATCAATTCAGGAGTCTCACACTACAAGGATCTTGAATTTGTATTTTTGAACCAACAAGGTTACCTTCCCCACTAGTGGACCTCTAATAGCTATGAGGGTGCTTTAACAGGTTCAGAGGCCTTGCACTGAGGTGTTCCATGGCCAGTGCTGGTGGAGAGAAGCATTCTATAACTGCTGCTCACTGTTTGAAAAACAACGGACTGACCTTGGGTTTTGCTACTCTTTCAACAATGACCTATCAGAGCGTGGCCAGTAGTAAGTACAATACTTATTTGTTAATTATTTTAAAGTCATACGAGAATAATGACATTAATTATTCCTTATGAAAATTGCTCAGCCATTAACTAGGTATCAATTCTTTAAGCCCGGTTTTCCTAGGTAAGAAAGCGGAGTACAAAAAAGCGATTAACATGGCGTTCCGCTCCGCTCCTAGGAAAACAGTAACATAAAATTACCTAAGACAAGAGGAGTCCGCACCTAGGAAAACCCAGCTTTAAGACAGCAACGCACACTTCGGTGCTTATTAAGCTGAATATGAATCCAAGTTGAGTGTAGAAAGGAGTGAGATAATTTGTGTAGTTTTGTTACTGAACAAGACCAGCTTTTTCATTATTTATGAAAAGCCCAATGATCAAGGACAGACAGTTGGGCCCACTTTTGAACACTAAAAAAACTACTTCTTTGGATCCAAACGGCAAACTTCTGGTTATTAGGTGAGTACTTCAACAAATCCAAGTTACCTATGGATTGGACCTATCAGTCCACTGCGAAAATGACACAGATGAGCCCAATGAACTTTGGTGGGGCCAACAGACTCTGGGGCCCCTAGCAAAATCTTTTTTACAAATTTTTAAAGGTAGGTACATCAAACAAAAACAAAACTATACTTGATTTTATGATTATGACAGTATGTTGTTTGTGAAATTGTCCAAGTTGAACTTGAAGCTTTAAGTTCTGACATTCTTAAATCCTTGTAAGTTAGTTATTATCTATATTATTAAAATAATTTGTTGGATTTTTGTGTGCAGCAAATCGCCCCTAAATATTTATTTTCAAATGCGTATTGGGTATCAATTTTAAGATCTTATCCTCTAGATGTGCCTTTTGCGGGTTCGGATGATATTTCGTGAAAGTCCTTCATCCTAAAGGCTTTTGAAATGTCAGAGTTTGTGCTGAATTCTGTTGTCAATCATCTGAACTTTTTCAAGTTTACATTTGTTTTGTTTACATCAAAACAGATGGCCATGATACAATTTTGTTTACATCCATATGAAAATGGTGTTATCTTTAGTTGATGATGTTTCAGGGAATTCAAGTAAAATGTTGAAATGTTATTTGTATAAAATGTAAAGGAGAAAATGACTTACATTAGATTTTGTCTTTAAATAGTATGTTTCATTGGCATTTGTAATGTTTCCAAGATGCCTTGAAGAGATTGTGCACACATTGAAAATAATAGGGCATGCAATGCAAATAATAGGGATATGATGAGAAATAATGGTTTTCACCCTTATCAACTATATCAATATCATGAATTTTGAAGTTACGAAGTGAGGCAGGCTGCTAGTGTAATTAAAATTGTCCTTAGCATATTTTTATAAATTTCTCTATACAATAATAACAGCACACAAAATATTGTATTTTTTGTAAATGTTAATATTTAGTTATTCACGAGGCTATGGGAAACGTAAAGGATCCAACTACTGGGTGGATTGGAACAATGAGATCCGACCCCGCAGAGCCTCCACGTTCGGCCCTTGGTCTGGTCTGCGAGTGACTATTGAAGTGATGTCAGACAAACAGATACCTACGGGAACCAACATCACACCCGGCGTCATGGTAGGCTTACTGTCAACTACATTTTCTTTCAAAGAGTTGTTTAGCCTCCGGATTACTGAGTTATACTTAAAACGTACCTTTCGCACGTGTCTGAAGTCAGCTCCGGCACTGGCTACGGCACCAATGGTTATGATTAAAATGCTGTAACAAAATGCTTTATGGGATAAGTAGGCTAACACAACTTACAGTTTTACAGGACATGGTAATTGATGTCTTCATTTATTGTGATATGTTATTATTTTGTTTATGGTAAAATATTTATGGTTCAGTGTTTCATTCTTAAGAGGAATACACTATTTATATAACTCAGTATTAATTTATAAATTTAAGCCTATGCTGGGACCTTTCTGTTTTGCCTGAGGCGAATTAATAATAAGCTTCTCAATGGTAATGTATTCATAATGTTTTTTACAGTTTTATCTGGAACAATCACGGGGTTTTCCAAACAGTGAAAATCAACGAGTTGACCCAGCCTCATTTGTTGATATTCGAACATATGGTATTATGAAGCAAGCATCGAAACGAGTACAGGCTGTAGACTTTGAGGACCGACGTTGTTTGTTTCTGGATGATAGAGTTGGAATAAACGGAGTGTACACTGAACACAACTGCCTAGTGGAGTGTCAGCGAGATTACGTCATGAAGTACTGCAACTGCAGTTCTGACTTTCTCTTTATAGAAGATGGTAAGTGATATACATGTTATAAGCTGGTTGAAAGTAATAATAGTTGGGGACAGTTAAGAAAATCATTGGCAGCAACAGTGGAAATAGAATTAAAATAAAATAAAACATATTTCGTGTATCTGTTGTAAATGAAGATAGTCAAGTTACATCAAATAGTGTTGCCTGAAAAATGTGCACACTATAGTTTGTCAGCGCCCTATAAAAATAAGCAGAGGTGTGAGAGGTGTGAGAGCCTGAGATTTTCAATCAAGCTTCAAGCTTCTTTTTAATTAAGAGTTTTTATATAATGAATTTTAATGATATTTAAAAATAATATCCTTGTATATAATACGTGAAGGCGATTTCTACGAAACACAACTCCTTTGTTAATAATGGACGGATTTTTACAAACGATGTGTTAAAATTAAGTATTTTTTGTGTAGACGCTCCCTTTCACAAATTGATGAAATAAACGTCCTCAGGCTTTGCCCCACAGGCCATCCAAATCCTAATGTTTTACTTATGAAGAAAATATTTTGTTTACTCAAACAGACGAATAATTTGTATTAATTGCATACAGTAGAACCTCAACTACTCGAACCTCAATATCTCGAATTCCTCAATATCTAGATTTTTTTTAAATCCCCTTGAAATCCACATTAATCATAATGTTAAAAGTACCTTTATAAGTCGAAGTTTCTAAATACCTATTTAACCTCAATAAGTCGAATTTGAACAACTTTTGAACAGTAACATTCTACCTCTATAACTCAAATTTTCCCGTCATCGAGCCTCAGTAACTCGAAGTTTACCTTTGTAAGTCGAAGTTCGCATGAATGTGCCTCAATAATTCGAAGTTTTGCCTTAACAGTGCAAGTCAGTTGTGTCTTGATTCCTGTCGAGACGTGAAAATCAAACTTCCTGTGTTTGCTTCCCGTGTCTGTTTGGCTAGGCACTGATGTAGTCACTAGTCAGTGTAGTTTGCCCGTTTTGCCAAAGTAGATTCAGTAAATAACTACATTACGATGCATTTTGTTTAGTATTTCAATCACACTAGAATTTTCCCTTTAAATATTACTCTCTACAGTCTAAATACTTTTGTATGTACAGTATTGTACCTATTCAGTATTTTTGTTGTTACAGTAGCTTGTTTTTACAGTACATATAAAGAGTTTGACTAACGTTTGCTTTAAACAAACATTATACACAGTAAATGTAGTTCCGTGTATGGATGATATATACTGTATTATTGTTTTGTACAATATTTAAACTATTTTTTTTGTCATTTAACATGTTTTTTATGTACTTTATCAAACTTATTGCCAACTAATAAACACAGTACTTTATGTGTATTAAGTTATAAAGGCCGTGACGTAACATCACTGTCAGACCCCAACACCTCAGTATCTCGAACTTTTTCAAATGGAACCTTCATAACTCGAACCTCACTAACTTGAAAAACTTGATAACTCGAATTTTTATCATAACCCCTTCAGATTCGAGATATTGAGGTCCTACTGTACTAAAACAGCTGCTCATAGTAAATACATGATACACACAGGAGCGTTCGTTTTCAGAGTAAGTTGGTTTTCAGTTTGGATAATTGGAGTGGAGTGAATGATTATATCCAAACATCTATTACTTATTACTATTACTAAACGTTATTCTTCCAAACGTATCCAACATCACTCCTGATGTAAGAAAGATTGTAACTGATGACTTTAACACGTTTTTCGCTTCTGTTGGATATAACCTTGCCAGTTCAATAAATAGCAGCGGTCCGCCGATCATCAACGACGCAGATTACAGGCAGGACACTGTGTTTACACTCCAGACAGTGACTGAACTCGACGTTATCAGACATGTCTACTTATTACGTGGTGGGTCTGCCCCCGGTTTTGATGGTGTCTCGGCTGATGTTCTCAAAGAAAACATCAATTCACTCTCTAAACCATTATTGCTTATCATAAACTTAAGTTTGGCTAGTGGAATATTTCCAGACAAGTGGCAAAAGTTTTTCCTTTATACAAATCAAACTCCCACAAAGACAAAAATAATTTTAGACCAATTTCTTTATTGAGTGCATTCTCTAAGGTGCTTGAAAAAATAGTTAAGAAACAGATGGTAGATTACTTGAATCAGAATCAGATCCTAGCAGACTGTCAATATGGGTTCAGAAAAGATAAAAATGTTACAGATGTTCTTTTTCATATCAACAAAGAAATTTTTAATGCTCTATCTGAAAATTTGCGCTCAGTATTAATTTTTTTTGATCTCAAAAAAGCTTTTGATAGTGTAGACAGAAAGCATAGGTGACAATTCGTATACAGAGATGAAGTCAATAGCGATGAGGCCTGTTAACTATGGGGTGATTCACGGGAGTACCCTTGGGCCTATTTTATTCCTAATATATATGTTTTCGGAAAAATGTTTCTTTTTGCAGATGACACATTGATTTATGTTAAGGATAAGACATGGGAAGGTGTAAAAAGTAAAGCTCAATCAGATCTCAAATTAGCAAAAAAATGGCTTAACCAAAATGTACCATCTCTTAATGTTTCCAAAACAAAATTCATGCCTATTTCTCTCACGTCAACAGCTGACTATAACCTAACCAATTTGATCTTGCACAGCTGTCTCAACCAATTCAATAACAGTTGTTCTTGCGAGACCTTAGAGAAAGTTAACTCATATAACATTTTTGACTCACATATGAAATGGATAGAGCACATTAATTTCTTGCAAAATAAAACTAGAAAACTTATATTAGCATTAAGACAGTTAAGTAGTGTACCCAGTTTTAAAGAAATTAAATCAAAATATATTGTATATGTACAGTCGGTTTTGTCTGATGGAATATTAGCTTGGGGAGGGGCGTACAGTTCACATCTCACAGGTCTGATTCTGGTTCAAAAGTCTATCCTAAAAGCTGGTTTCAAAAAGTGTAAAAGATACCCCTCAGATTTACTATTTCATGAAACTGGAATATTCCCCATTGCAAAATTGATTATCAAAGATCTTCTAAATTATATATTTAAAAACTTCAATTCAATTTTTACTTCCATAACCCACCCTCATAATACAAGATATGCAAATAGAATTGGAAATTTCCACTATTCAGCAGCACAAATCCTTTACAAAAACAAATTGTTTCTACATAGCACATATTTTGTTCCGGAATTATTCCACTATGTATAAAGCAACTCAGTTATTGAGCGGAGCGAGCGAAGCTCTTATACCTTGACTCTTATGCATTTCGTAATATGCAAACTCCTCCTAGACGGCTGAATCAATCGTTTTCAAATTTTGCATGGTGATAAAGACCATATCGGTGAGTGCCAACATCTATATGGCGTTAAAAAAGTCTCTCAGGAATCCGCTTGGGTCTCAAAGTTTCAATGTAATCCTTATGGAAGCAGAGTATTTGACACATAAACAAAGACATATGATCAGCTGTTGACTTTTGAATGCAGAAGATAAAGAAATAGCTGATAGCATTATTCCACAGATATTGGAACAGAAATGGTATGGATCATAAATATAATCAAATGACGACACTAGCTTGAGGTCCGTGACGTAGGAAGTGGTGAAGGAAGTAGTCAAGGCGAGCTGTCCGGAGTGTGGGAACTGTTTATGACGATTAGATTAAGGTATCTGCAATCCTAAGATGCTATTGGAAGGGAAGGAAAAAGGTCCCCGACGTAGGAAGTGGTGAAGGAAGAGGAGTAAAGGCGAGCTGTTCGGGTTATGGGATCTGTTTATGACCATTAGATTAAGATATTTGCAATCCTATTATGCTATGGGAAGTGAGGGAAACAGGTCCGTGACGTAGGAAGTGGTGAAGGAAGTAGTAAAGACAAGCAGTCCGGACTGTGGGAATTGTTTGTGACGATTAGATTAAGGTATCTGCAATCCTAAAATGCTATGGGAAGGGAGGAAAACAGGTCCGCGATGTAGGAAGTGGTGAAGGAAGTAGCCAAGGCGAGCTGTCCGGAGTGTGGAAACTGTTTATGACGATTAGAATAAGGTATCTACAATCTTAAAATGCTATGGGAAGGGAGGGAAACAGGTCCGTGACGTAGGAAGTGGTGAAGGAAGTAGTAAAAGCGAGCAGTCCGGAGAGTGGGAACTTTTTATGACGATTAGATTAAGATATTTGCAATCCTATTATGCTATGGGAAGTGAGGGAAACAGGTCCGTGACGTAGGAAGTGGTGAAGGAAGTAGTAAAGACAAGCAGTCCGGACTGTGGGAATTGTTTGTGATGATTAGATTAAGGTATCTGCAATCCTAAAATGCTATGGGAAGGGAGGGAAACAGGTCCGTGACGTAGGAAGTGGTGAAGGAAGTAGTAAATGTGAGCAGTCCGGAGTGTGGGAACTGTTTATGACGATTAGATTAAGGGATATGCAATCCTAAAATGCTATGGGAAGGAAGGGAAACAGGTCCGAGACGTATGAAGTGGTGAAGGAAGTAGTCAAGGCGAGCTGTCCGGAGTGTGGGTACTGTTTATGACGATTAGATTAAGGGATCTGCAATCCTAAAATGCTATGGGAAGGGAGGGAAACAGGTCCACGACGTAAGAAGAGGTGAAGGAAGTAGTAAGGTTAGCAGTGTGGAGTGTGGGAGCTGGAAACCATTTGTAGCAGTTAGATTAATGTATCTGCAATGCTGAAATGCTATGAGAAGGGATGGAAGCATCCCCACGACATAGAAAATGGTAAAAGAAGTAGTAAAGGCTAGCAGTGCAGAGTGTGGGTAATGTTTGTGGCAATTAGATTAACGTATCTAAAATACTAAAATGCTATGGAAAGTGATGAAAACAGGTCCACGATGTAGGAAGTGGCTTAGGAAGTACTAAAGTATGAGCATAGTGTGAGAACCGTCTGTAGCAGTTAGATTAATGTATCTTTAATCCTAAAATGCTTTGAGAAGGAAAGGAAACAGGCCCCACGACGTAGGAAGTGGTGAAGGAAGTAGTAAAGACTGGCAATGCAGAGTGGGGGAACCGTTTGGACAGTT